TTTGTGATCAAGGCCTCTTAATTATAGAGGATGGAATGGTAGAAACCCCTTGTGGCTGGGATCGAGCACAACCTCTGGGATGCCGAAGTTGAGAAAAATGCCGACATACTACCTCTATCTGTTGTCTATCCTGTCTATTTAACAGCTGTGTATGTGTTCTGTGATCCACCCTGAGTCCCCTTCGGGGTGAGAAGGGCAGAATATAAATGCTGCAATAAATAAATAAATAAATAAATAAATAAAGATCTTCGCTTTTAATCCATTGTAGTGAGTACACCCTCTATAACAAGGAATTTTGTTATATGCTAGCTATCCGTTTGCTTACAAAAAGTTAATTGATATTTAGTAGGCCCTGCTGGATAGTCTGATAATTCAAGAATGGTCATACCCCTGACTTGGTGAAAATATATATATTCAGATTTTAGATATGCCATTCACTGAGTAACTCTAAATTGAGATATTAGGCAAAATGCGTAGGCACTCTTCTATCCAATTGTTTTGCAAGAAACCTGTAGGTGTGAAGGAAAGGAGGGTAAGCGGCACAATGTAAGGCCATGAGATGGGGAAGGAAGTAGGAAATTCACAGTGTGAATGGTAGAATATGAGAAGAGTAAGGAGAAAGCGCTGTGAGGGCAGGTGAGGGAGGAAGTGGTGCAAGTGGCAGAACTGAAAAGTCACAGAGGAGAATTTAGGTTGCGCAGTGTGAATGGAGCACAGAAGCAAAAGGAGGGGAATGTTGAGAGAGTCCAAACTGAAGCTGTGAGTAGAAAGGTACTGCATGCAAGAAGCAAGAGAAAAGCACATTGTGAGAGTGCTAGGAGAGATGAGTATGGAAGAAGGAAGAAAGAATGAACAGTGTAGACATGAGAAGAAAAGAAAGGTTGAATTCTGGGGGTGCAAGAGTGAGTAGGGCAAAGTGGAGATGGAATGCTGCAAATAGCAGAGATCGAGATGCAAGAAAGAGGCACATTGTGAAGATGTGAAGCGAAACAAGGGGGGGGGGTAGGAGGAATGAGCAAGTGACTATCAGAAGCAGCGGAATACATGAAGCAGGGATGGGCGAGTTGTGCATGAGGTATCATATGGAAGGGAATAGGAGAGGACAGGCCCGTAGCCAGGATTTTGATTCGGGAGGGGGGGGGATGCTCAGTTTGATTCGGAGGGGCCGAGTTTAGTTTGGGGGGGGGCTGAGTCTGAGTGAAAGAGGGTCTACCCTAGCAAACCTTTTGTATCATTATCCCAATACCCCCATGCATATGGGATATATTGAGTATGGTGATCAAATCATGATATGAATAAACATAACAGTTTAAATAATGTACCAGTAAGGCCTTCTCGCGAACCACCATGAGAATTTCGGGGGGGGGGGGAAGTCCCTCAACCCCCCCCCTCCCCAGCTACGGGCCTGGGAGAGGATGTGGCACATGTGGTGGAGTGCAAGGAACCATGGAAGGCCAAGGGAGGGAATAGCAGGGGGAAGGTGCATTTTGGCTTCCACTTTTTGCTCCTGCTTTGTATTATTAGAAACCTTGGGATCTTCCACAAATTTCTAGGGAGGGATCTTACACTAATTTCCAGGAGAGGAAACATCTCAATTCAGGGACCTACTGACTGGACATGGGAATGCGAAGTGATAGGCAAAGGGTGATACGGGCAGGATTCCTTGCTTAAAGACCCAGCCCTACTTCCTGCAGCAAAAGAATTCCCATTACTAAAGAGCTAAAATGGTTTCTCTGATGCAGACCTTCTGCTAAATTATTTCCCATAAATATTTTTTATTTTATATTGCATTGCTTATTATATTATTTGCATTTCAAGTATTTTATTTTATTATTATTTTATTTTTTGGTTTTGTTATGTTTTTGTGTTATATTGTTGTGTATTGTATTGATGGGTGTGGCCTCATGTAAACCGCACCAAGTCCCCCGGGGGAGATGGAGCGGGGTATAAATAAAGTATTATTATTATTATTATTATTATTATTATTATTATTATTATTATAAATAAGTCTCATTTTAGAACACTGGTGTTATGGTACTGAAACAAGTTCTAGCATAGACCATATATTAACGTTTTACCTCCTGCCCAGGTCAGAAAAGATACCTTTTTTAGCTAGGGAGGAAGGAGGCGGGGTCTGATGTGTGTCCACATGTGCATTTGCTAATATTAGTAGGCAGGGTCTGGGAGTTTATAAGGATGCTCTATCATTTTATATTAAGAGAGTCCAGAAACTATCACATCAGGGCTCAGGAGCAGATGATTGGCTCTATCCCAACCGATAGTATGCTGGGGCCCTTCTAGACTGACGGAAAATGTGGGCCCAATCCAGTGTTCATAATAATAATAATAATAATAATTATTATTATTATTATTATTATTATTATTATTATAAACCTTTATTTATACCCCGCTAACATCTCCCGAAGGATTCGGTGCGGCTTACAAGAGGCCAAGGCCAAAACATCAGTGAAACAACAACATAACAAATACAACAATAAATAAACTCATTAAAACAAAGCAATAAACACAAACCAATAACAATAAACATTACACAATAGCATCACAATGCAATTTAAAAACTATGGCCAAGCCAAATGTAGTGGTTAAAAGTTTTAAAAAATACTGGACATGACCAGGTGAAATGGGTAGGTTTTTGGCAATAGGTGCAATGTGCAGACAATCTTAAATCTCTAGTAAAGTGCATATGGGACATGATGCTTGGAGTTTCCTAATTTGGGAAGGCACACTGGAACAACCATGTCTTCAAGCTCTTCCTAAAGACTGCCAACGTTGGGGCTTGTCTGATGTCCTTGGGGAGAGAGTTCCAGAGTCAAGGGCCACCACAGAGAAGGCCCTGTCCCTCGTCCCCACCAATCGCGCTTGCGATGCAGGTGGGATCGTGAGCAGGGCCTCTCCAGATGATCGGAGAGACCGTGTGGGTTCATATACAGAGATGCAGTCACGCAGGTAGGCGGGTCCCAAACCGTTTAGGGCTTTGTAGGTAAGCACCTGCACCTTGAATTATAGGACTCCCTCAACTACCTCTGAGGTGGGAGGGAATCACATCTGCCTGACTGTGCTGAACATGGTTCGGTACTGCTGGGCAACCACTCTAAAAAAAACCTCCCCGCCCCTATGTCATGGTGGCCCCTAAGCTGCAAGGTGCCACCTACCTGCTCTTTAGTGCACCATGCTTTGGGAGATGGGAGGGAGAGAAGGGGAAGTGACTTGGGGGGGGGGGGGGGGGGGGAGGGGGGGGGGGGGGGGGAGAAAGGCAGAGGCAATACCTCTTCTACTTACTCCTCTTTTCCATAGTTGCCCTGTCCCATATAGATTGCAAATCTGGGGGATGGGAACTGTCAAATTCATGATTTGTACATTGATCTATGAGCTTTTTGGATGAAGTTCAGGATATATATACTCTAAATCTATATAAATAAAAATGTAATGACCTCCCCTATGGCAGATGCAGGCGAAACGTCAGGAGAAATGCCTCTAGAACAGTGGTTCTCAACCTGGGGTCCCCAGATGTTTTTGGCCTTCAACTCCCAGAAATCCTAACAGCTGGTAAACTGGCTGGGATTTCTGGGAGTTGTAGGCCAAAACACCTGGGGACCCACAGGTTGAGAACCACTGCTCTAGAACATGGCCATATAGCCCGAAAAAACCCAAAATAACTGAGTGATTCCAGCCATGAAAGCCTTCGACAATACAATGTAATGTTCGTTTGTGGGATTAACATAACTCAAAAACAACTGGGCAAATTGACACCAAATTTGGCCACAAGACACCTACTAACCCAAGGAGTGACCATCACTCAAAAATTTTGATTTTGTCATTTGGGAGTTGTAGTTGCTGGGATTTATAGTTCACCTACAATCAAAGAGCATTCTGAACTCCACCAATGATGGAATTGAACTAAACCTGGCACACAGGACTCCCATGACCAACAGAAAACACTAGAAGGGTTTGGTGGGCGTTGACCTTGACTTTGGGAGTTGTAGTTCACCTACATCCAGAGAGCACTGTGGACTCAAACAATGATGGTTCTGAACCAAACTTGGCAGGAATACTCACTATGCCCAAATATGAACACAGGTGGAGTTTGGCGGAAACAGACCTTGACATTTGGGAGTTGTAGTTACTGGGATTTACAGTTCACCTACCATCAACGATCATTATGACCCCCACAAACGGTTTGCCCACAAGCAGAGAGAAATTACATATATTAGAAACCAACACTTTCTCATTACTTCATTTTCTAGATCACCAGACTGGGCCACAGCAACGTGTGGCAGGGGACGGCTAGTAATTACATAAAAATGCATCTGCGGGGTTTGCATTAGTGACGTGTGCATTCTAACTGCAATAAGGATACTTGTCTTCCTCTTACTTCAAAGAAATATCAGATGGGGTGGAGAGGAGGAGAGAATGCAAGTTGTGAAAATAGTTTGGAAAGAAAAAGTTTAGAATCCTGTCCCATGTAATAAGCAAAGTAAATAAATGTAGTCTAAATCAAAACCCTAACCCAGGGGTCCTCAAACTTTTTAAACAGAGGGCCAGGTCACAGTCCCTCAAATTGTTGGCGGGCCGGATTATAGTTCGAAAAAAACATGAATGAATTCCTATGCACACTGCACATAGCTTGTTTGTAGTGAAAAAACATTTAAAAACAATACAATAATTAAAATTAAGAACAATTTCAACGAATATAAATGTATTAGTATTTCAATGGAAAGTGTGGACCTGCTTTTAGTTGATGAGATAGGATTGTTGTTATTATTGTGTGCTTTGAAGTAGTTTCATACTTAGGTTGACCCTGAGCGAGGGCCGGGTAAATGACCTTGGAGGCCCGCATCCGGCCCCCGGGCCTTAGTTTGAGGACCACTGCTCTAACCTGTTGAACAAGTGAAATTAGAAGGAGCCCGATCCTAAACTTCAGCCTAACTTGTTTGTAAATATCAGAGAAAATAAAAACAAAACTTGTCAAATACCCTTACCTGTTCTGCTGTCCAGAGGTCCGAAATCCAGAGAATATTTAACGACATGATAGTTGTTCCATACATAAAGAAGGTTGTCCCTTGGATTGTAATCCACAGCAGCAATATACTGATATGAGTTTGGGAAAGGGACATCCACCACACTCTCCTTGCTTTGGTCAGTGTTGTAAATGTAGTCTATTTTATTTCCCGTTGCTTCATTATCATCATCCTCATAGACAGATTTCACCACGTATAAAATGCCACAGACCATGAATGCATTGGAAGCCGACCTCTTGTCATAAGATGTATCCCATGTGCCTTCAATCCGCAAGGTGTAAGGATTCAGTTGGCTGATTACAATTTTACCATTGTTTTGTTCTGTTGCATAGATTACCCAAAGGCCATTCTCGTCCACAGCGAGGTCTATATCAGTTTTGCCTCCCCACCTGTAAGGGGAAGTGTCATGGTAGTTGGCATTGGCAATGATAGCTTCCCCGCTTTTTATTCTCGTCCGTAGATCGAATTTGACAATATTCCTTGTCCGTTCTTTGTTGAAAAACAAAGCCCCATCATACACCACAAACCCTGTACCATCTACCCGGTGTGGCAGCTTGTATGTTGTGGTTGGTCTTCCAGCTATGAAATCATCTTTGGAAGAGTACTCCGTCAGGGTATCCGTTCTGTAGGGAGTCCACGGCATGTAGTAGATCTTGTCAGAAGCCTGCAGGGGATCCTTACACCAGGCTCCTGACTGATGGTCGGACTCAAATAAATGTTCACTTTGATATACTCCTTTTAGTAGTCCAGGGCAAAGAAAAACTGAAAGGAGGGAAAAGGTTAAAATAAAGCAGATTACTAAATGTGGTGATGATTCTCTGGGGTGCACTTACAGGTTTGTAATTGGTGTACAGAAGGAGAGCTCAAAAGAATTTCAGATTTCTTTAAACCCTGAAATGAATGAGTAACTTTACATTAAGAAGAGGACCAGGGAGATTCACCGAAACTGCTCTTAATTCTTTTAAAAATCATTTGGCAAATGTCCTGCTTTTGGAACTTAACAGATACAATTGCATGCTAAAAGAAATATCGCTTCACATCCATAAAGGCACTTAAAGCACCTAGGGGGGAAACAATCCTATTATAGTTCAATAACAAAAAAAAGTTTCAGCAATTGCACATAAGGACTGCAGCCACAGCAGTAACAAAAGAACAATTCATGAATATGGCCAGAAGAAGAGAAAGAGTGGTAAGAAGAAAAAGGAAAAGCTTGGTGGGCCAAGGCTAGAACCAAAACTTTAATCAAGTAAATTGTCCTGTGAAATACAAAAGAATTAAAATATTAATTAAATATATCACAGCTGCCAACACTGATGCATTAAACTGTCTGCTTCACAAGCCTCACTTCTATTTCTAATTCCCTTCCACCAAAATATAGTTTGCCGAAGTGTAGAATCTTTTATTATATATATATTTTTGTCATGTCAGGAATTGCTCCTGTTGTGAGAGAATTGGCCGTCTGCAAGGACGTTGCCCAGGGGACGCCCGGATGAATTGATGTTTTTATCATCCTTGTGGGAGGCTTCTCTCATGTCCCCGCATGAGGAGCTGGAGCTGATAGAGGGAGCTCATCCGCCTCTCCCCGGATTCGAACCTGCAACCTGTCGGTCTTCAATCCTGCCGGCACAGGGGTTTAACCCACTGCACCACCGGGGGCTCCTTTTATTATATTAATACAAATGTTTTAGTCTATGTCAAATCCAGAATTTTACACCTAATATTAATACAAATGTAGGTGTAAAATTCTGGATTTGACATAGACTAAAATATTTAAAATATTAAGACTTCAGGGAAATTTTGTGTTGATATAATTTTCAGGTTTTAGTAGTATCTATTTCTTTTTTTATCCCATTCAATTGCAATCCTCTGTACACAGAACACGAAACAGCATGAAAAAAAATCCCTAAATTTTAACCAACAGATTAACATGTTTCTATATTATTTTTTAAAATGTCAATTAAAATAATAGACTGTTAAATATTGTATTCCACATGAATATGTAAAAAATATGTGAAAGGTATTTAATTACCTTTTTGTTCCACTTCTATTGTAGAAAAAGAAGAAAAGCAAGAAAGAAAAAAGAGAACAGATTAATGGTACTGTACGGGCAAAACACTTATTTTTACAATGGTGTATTCATAAGATTCAATTTGGCTTACTGTGACATTTGATGAATATGAGGGTTGGATTCAGGACTGGCTTTGGGGGAGGTACCTTGTACTGACTTTTGAGAGCACCCTCCTCCCTCCAGTTTTCCACCACTCTTTGCCCCAGAACTTGTATTAGACTGACCCATAAGCTGGGGCCAATCAGGTACACCAAATGCTGGATCGGTCCTGAGTATGGTCTACACAGGGACTCCTCCAGCTGCTGTGAAATGTAGAGGCAAGAGGGAGCTGGCACTGCCCAGTGGCACTGAGCACAATTCAGCATTACTGGGCAGCCACCCTACCCCCCCCCCCCCTTTGTGTCACAATGGTTGCTGGGTTGGGGTGCTGAGGCAGGAGGAAGAGGAAGAAATCCCCTCCCTCTCCCCCTCCCTTCCCAGGGCTCCCTGTCATCCCAGTAATGTCACAGTGCATGGCAATGTACAGGTAGCACCCAGGTTGAGACTGGAGACTTTTACAACATTGAGGATTGGCCATCCCATCTTCCTGGACTCCTGAACCTGAGAAATGTGGGATAGCAGTAGGGACAGTTGAAGTTGGTTCCAAATGTTCTCATATGCCCAAAGTTCTGTTCCAGAATGTGGACTTTCCCCTGAGTTTGGGTAACACAGAACAAGACCACATTAAGATGACTAAGCCCCGTATTATTTCAGATTAGTACCACATGGCATTTGGACACCATAGGGTTGATCTGCCTCTACTTCAACCTAAATGCTCAGTGTAGATCAGTGGTACTCAACCTGGGGTCCCCAGATGTCTTTGGCCTTCAACTCCCAGAAATCCTAACAGCTGGTAAACTGGCTGGGATTTCTGGGAGTTGTAGGCCAAAAACATCTAGGGACCCCAGGTTGAGAACCACTGGTGTAGATGGAATCAAGGACATCGAGGGGCAACTGATAGGAAAGACAAATGAGGAAATCTTCTCTAGCAGTCTAGTTGCTACTATCTCAATCTGGATCCAAACCATTGTTATTTAAGGTCTTATAATAAAAACATAATTATATTGATTATCAAAGTTCACTGTAGTTTTTAACAACATCCATATTGAAAACCCATTAGAATCAGTGCAAGGATCCCAGGGACATGAGGACAGCTGAAAATGATTGATTATAGAATCTATTTGGAACTGTCAAGTCACGAGAAGATGAACATTTTCAAATAATTATATATTTCAAAGAAGATATTGTCACATCCTGAAACTTCAAACAGCAGCTGTACTGCCTTTTAAAAACAGATTTTAACAGAAAAAAAATAAAATAATTCTAAATTGTTATTCCCATCAGATAAAGCAGCACATACTGAGAAAATTTTCATCTAATGCAAACACTATATATACAATCAAATCTTCACAATTACCATATAATGAAGCTATAGTTCAAGGGGAAAAGTTAATACGTTGAATATATTGTGTTTGTGTTGAACAACAGATATCTCCGGAACTACTTCTACCTCTTAATGGTGTATTTGGGAATATTATCAAAGATGAGACATTGATCCCCCCAAAAAGGTAAAATGCACAAAGTAAAGGGTAATCATATATAAGTCTTGAAACCTTGCAACCCTTGAGAAAAAAATCGGATATGAAAATCTGAAAAGTACTCTGAAGAAAATTACCAGAGGATCAAGCATCTTCCCCGTTGAACGTATTTACTGCTAGACTTACTACATGTTTCATTATAGAGAAGATCCTATACACAATTTCTCAGCTGTTATAAGACACAGTGGCTGCGCACTTGTTAGATTCCAGAATGAGAGACATTCATGTATGTGCACACTACCTATATCAGAGTAAGAAAACTATTTAAGTAACCTGTGGGATACTAGCATAATACTAGTAGGGAGTGAGGGACCGCCTCACCCCCTACCAACCCCAGAGATTTATTTATTTATTTATTTATTTATTTATTTATTCACTGTGCTTATATACCGCAATTCTCAGCCCCAAGGGTGACTCATTGCGGTGTACAACAATCTACAAAGCATAGTGCAAAACAGTGTACAATTCATCATAATCATAAAAACATCTTAACAGACAACAAAATTACAACAAATTTACTACTACATTCCGAATCGTCTCATCGTCAAGCCACAATCCGATCTCATTTCCGGTGTTCCATTCCTATGGTCAATTGCCAGTCATTGCACTATTGATCAAATGCCTTCTTAAATAGCCAGGTCTTTAGCTTCCTGTGGAATATTAGCAGGGAGGGGGCTAGCCTGATGTCCGCGGGAAGGGTGTTCCACAGCCGAGGAGCCACCACCGAGAAGGCCCTGTCTCTCGTCCCCACCAGCCATGCCTGTGAGGCAGGTGGAATCGAGAGCAGGGCCTCCCCGGAAGATCTCAAAGTCCTCGTGGGCTCATAGGCCGAGAGGCGGTCAGTTAGGTATTTTGGGCCGGAACCATTTAGGGCTTTATAGGCCAATGCCAGCACCTTGAATTGAGCCCGGTAGCAGATCGGCAGCCAGTGGAGCTGGTACAGCAGGGGGGTTGTATGCTCCCTGCGTCCCGCTCCTGTTAGTATCATGGCTGCTGCACGTTGGACCAGTTGGAGCTTCCGGGCCATCTTCAAAGGCAACCCCACGTAGAGAGCGTTGCAGTAGTCTAAGCGGGATGTAACCAGAGCGTGGACTACCGTGGCCAAGTCAGACTTCCCAAGATACGGGTCCGTTATGAGGACCAAGATCTATTGGAAATTCCCAGTGTCAAGACCTTCCGTCTAACAGCAACCAGACGCAGAGCCTTTACAGCAGTGGCACCATCACTCTGGAATACTCTGCCACCTGAAGTCCGTGCCTTGCGGGACCTATCAGCTTTCCGCAAGGCATGTAAGTCATATCTGTTTCAACAGGACTTTGATCTCTGATATTGTTGTTTTTAAATTGTTTTTAAATTGTTTTAAATTGTGTTAGATTTTTTTCTTGTAAGCTGCTCCGAGCCCCAGGGGAGTGGCGGCATATAAGTTTGAATTATAAATATAAATAAATAAATAAATAAATAAATAAAATATATCATTTAGGTAAAATGAAAGTATAAACTTTTAAAGCAAGCACCAATTATTATAGTTGTTATATACCTGGAAACATCATAAATTGTATTTAAACTAAATGTTTTCTTGTGGACTTTAACCTGGGGAGTCCGATTTTGATGTCAGTTTTGGTGGATTACGTCATTTTCACATTGAAAATGTTGATTAAACACGCACATAATCACTTCCATGATGTCGTGCTATTGCTGCTATTGCAATGTAAATTGGTGGAAAAGTAGGTAATGATGGGGATTTGGTTAACCAGTTAAAATTCATGAGTTTTTCAGGGTTGTTTTTTTTTCCAACCTGAAAAATTTCAGTGGGATTGAACCTGTAACCCACCCGCCCTTGGCTACAGGCTGGATTGTCTCCATTGTCATAGACGAACACCCTTTTCTTCCCCCAGAAAGATGAAAGGATATCACTCAACAAAATCAGGATTATTAAAATTCCCACCACACACAACCCACTAATCACAGCCATAAAACATGACAACAATTAATGTACATCAAACCAAATCAGAAAACGGATTGTAACTTTGAGCCAATCAAAACATAAACCATTGTTTTTGGAATTTCATATAATAGCAACAAATGGAGAAGCACGTCAGATCTGGAATTCTCTCTTTCCCTGACATCTTTCCTTGATCAAGAAGGAATAAAACTGAACTCTGATTCTGCTCTCATCTCTGCGTGACTTGATTGGGAAACATAGTAAGCACACCGGGAGCCGACTCGTTTCTAGGGACAATATTAAATGTAAAATTATACATATATCACCCCACTTATCATTAGAAATTTAAAATGCTTTCCTTCAGCTTCTAACTTCAATAATTTCTTAGAAGTAGTCAAACCCCACATGTATCCTCACATTTTCATTCCTTTTTATATCAGTAAAAAAAGGTTCACAATTTTAGAAAAAGGTGTCAGTAGATTTCTCTTTTATTGAATAAGATAATTTCCCCATTTCTGCTATTTCTGGCATTTTTTAGGATCCAACTTTCTCTTGAAGGTAAGTCTATCCTTCTGTTTTCAGGAATAAATGTTCTGCTAATATAATGTAATATAGTATTTTATTATTCAACTTTTTAACCTGTTTATTTAGTAATCCCAGTAAGAACAAAATTGGATCAAGTTCAACTTTAGTTTTTTTTTAAATCAACCCCTGGATCATATTTATTTATTTATTTATTTTGCTGTACAAGAAGGCCACCACATTCAGTAAAAAGCCCTATGACGGGTTTACATTTTCATCATGTTTTCATATCTCATACGTTTTTGATAATTTTGTAAAAATTCTTTTGAATATCAAAACTTAAAATGTCTTTTAACAATTTTGTCCACACCTTTTACCATCTCAACAACTCAATATTATGCCGAATATTCTGCACTCATTTAACCATACATTGTTTGTTCTTAATCTAGTTCAATTTTACAGTTGATATGGGAGCTCCTGTATCTATAAGAACTCTTTAAGCTGATTTCCCACCCATAACATTACTTGGGGCTTTACCTGCCACTCATGAGGGAAAGTAGGAAGGATGGGAGCACTTGGAAGATGGAAAGGTGGTGAAGCTGATACAGATGTTTTTTCTGAGGTTGTTTCTGACCTTGTTTCAGTGGACACTCATTTCTCGAGTGGCCTTTTTGTCCACAATATGCACACTGGTTGCGTCCCAACTTTCTTCCGCTACCCCGACTCTCGTCCCGTCTGCCTTGTCCCCTGCTCTGCCCCATTCCTCAAAGTTGTATGGCTTGAACTTCCATCACCACTATCATTCTTTCCACTTCCTTGTCCATCAGACAATTTTGGTATGGCTTCTGAGCCTCTTCTGGCATAGCAGAGAGGGT